AGCTCTACAGAGCCCTAGAGAGCCCTACAGAAGCTCTGCAGAGCTTCCTAAAGCCCTACAGAGTTTCCCTTCGCTGCCTGCAAAGAGGGCTTGAATGAATGGAGGTCCACCACAAGAAGGTGCAAAGGTGAGTGAGGGGTCTCCATCCTGTGCAGCTTTTCTTAATCTCACTGACCCAAATGCTGAGATATCTGGAATGACGCATCCATAACGAGGCAGAGAGCGGAGAGTGAGGGAAAAAAATGTTCTTTTATTTAAAATAAATACCAGAAATGGAGAGAGAGAGAGAGAGAGAGAGAGACCAGCTCCCCAGACCAACCTGGTTTGTGGGGAAAGGTCACCTCCCTTGGCAGAACAGACGCCGGGTCTGCCTTGCATTGACGTCAGCCCGAAAATGATTTGGACAGAGATATAAACAGGAGGATTCAGTCCATTAAAGGCAAAATAAATTTAGGAAGACCACACGTTTGAAAGCCCTGAGTGTTCTCCATCCTTGGTCAACCTCTCAACATTCTCTTCCTTCTGATGCACGGTCTCCATCACCCACACCGGCTGATCCTTTCGCCTCACTGCTGTCTGCCGGTGTCCCATCTCCCCATCCTCGCCGTACAAGTGCCATCCCAAAGCTCCTGATGGAGACGGACACGGGAGAGGAGCAACAAGTTCTCTCGGCAAGATGCTCCGAGCAGCCACAGCAAACATCCAGCGTCACACAGGAGATGACTCTTTTGTTAAGGTCTGATTGACAGACATCTCAAGGACAGATTCGGAGGGGAGACCTGAACCCTACCCAATCCAGAGGGGACATCGTCTGTCTCGTGACTGACCGGTCCTCTGAGGGTGGGATTTGGGTGATTTCTTGCAAACGAGCCCCCATCCCCATCTTGAACCAGGGGAAGACCCTCTCCCCGTTGAACGAGGCTCTGGTATAAACCAAGATGGGAACATCATCGTCTGCTCTGAAAAATGCCACCCGCCCCGCCTCGTAGTCCAAGGAGATCCGTATCCTCCTGGGAAGCGGGTTCAGGCGCAGGTTGGCACGGGGGGATGTGAGGGAATGATAAGCCTCCAGCGCCCAGACCCCCTCCTTGGGGGTGAAGCTCATCGGTCCCTTCCTCTTGACCGATGCTCGGGCCACTCCCAGGGCCCAGACACCCCCTTGGCCCACCTCCACCTCCCAGAAATGCCTCCCCGAGGTGAAGCCCTCACAGCCCAACACACAGGGTTCAAAGTCAAATCTCTCTGGGTTGTCCAGGAGGTTCTTCTGCATCAGCTGCCCCTTGGCTTCTTTTCGGTCCTCGGAGAGGTGAAGGTTGCGATGAGCCGTGGTTGGGTCCAAGGTCACGTTGGCTGCAGGACAAGGGACAACCAGAGTTTTGGAGATAGGGCTCGGCCCCAGGAGGGGATGGAGAAGTTTCTTTTCCTCCCAGTATCAAGGACCAGCCCTGCTCTCCTGCTTCTCCTACCTCTAGATGCTTCACGGGGGGCACGGGCAGGTCTGGGGCTGGCACTAGCCTTGGGGTTCCCCAGCAGAGATGGTGAAAGGAGAAGAAGAAGAGGACAAAGCACGGAGCAAAGGAATGGGGAGGGGATGGTGGGAAATTCATGGGGTGGGAAGGGTGAGCACAAACGTTTTTCCCAAGTGTTCCCTTTCTTTGGATCCCAGAGGGTCGTTTGGCTTTACTGGGGTCCTATCTCAGCCCCTGGACACACCAGGAGCATCAACATCAGGATACTGTCGCCCCGGGGGGCTCACATTAGTTTTTTTTTCCCATGGGAATCTCTTCCACAAGCCAAAAAAACCCACCCCCAAGTCTGTCCCACCCCACCCGCTACCACGGACTTACTTGGCTCTTGCAATTTGAACATCAGGCTGTCTAAAGAGGAGAGAGATTTCGCGGCGTCAGGGTTACGTGTCCAGCAAACCGGCCGCAGCTCCGCTTTATCGGGCACGTTGGGGAGGCGAAAGGGCTCCGGGGAGACTCGGGAGGGAAAATATGGAGCGTGTGAGGGCTCGGCCGCGAGCAAGACTCGCTCCGGTGCCGGTACCGATGCTGTGATAACTCCCAAAGCCAGAGGGGATGAACCTCCTGGCCGAGCTCAACTCATCTCCAAGAGACATGGCCAACAGATTTCTCCCCCCAGTTGTCACGTCCCCTCCCTGACTTCACACCCGGGTGAATTTTAGTTTTCCCAGGAACAACGGCCCCAGCAGCTCTCTGAGTTTGCTTGTCACCTGAGACACCGGAGAGGAGACTCCTTTGCGGAGCTCGTTTTTCTCTCCTCTCCGCTTCCCAACGATTTTTGCCCCAGGAAAAACTCTCGGTGTCCTTCTCCAATTAAAAGTTTCAGCTTCGTTTATCGTTACTCGGTGGGGTTTGCGTTAGCGGCCAACACACAAGATCCCAAAGTCTCCCAGATATTCGGCACGCGAGGCAGCGTGCCTTCTCCTAACCTTGGCATCTCCTCAGCGTGCCTCTCACCAGGACGTTTCTCTGAACGAAGTCCTCAAGTCTTCTTTCCAGGTCGGAGGAAATCTCCACCGGAGGGTTGAACTTCATCATCTCGCAACTGCAAAGAGGGAAAAAAAAAAAAAAAAACCAAACCCACATCGCCACGTGTGATATATTTGATTGCTCGTTTTGTTTTCGTTAAATAATCCGGGAGAAGCTACGGGATGGGCTGAGGAGACTCATCCAAGAGTCAATAAAATCCCCCTTTTCCCTGCCCTCTTTCTTTGTGGTTTCTCCCCCCAGGAAAGTCTCTGAATGGACGTTTCTGAACCCAAAATGCCGTTGTGGGAGGCTCGAGCTACCAACAGCGTCCGTCTGGTTTGAAACCCCGACCTCAGGGTGGCATCCAGACCTCTTCAAGCATCAGGGTGTGGGGAAAGTGAGAAGGAGCCACGTTACCTATTCAAGAGTCTTCTGATGTCCTAAAGGTGGGAAGAGAGAGGAGAGATGGTTGGGGAAGAGGAACCATAAGTTTTGGGTCTTCTAACCAAAGTTCTGTATTTTTATGGCAATGCAGCAGCTAAGAAGGACCCGACGCACGTGATGATCCCACCTTCAGCAATGCCAGAAGACACCAGGCAGCTCCCATGGGGCGGAATTTGGGCTCCTGTGTCTCAGGCTTCGCTCTGTCCCTCCTATCCCCACCAGCTCCGACGTTTTGGGCTCTCACCTGCAGGAATTGGCTTGCTGGCTGCTGGAATTTCCCTTCCATCTCCCAGATCAGGGTGTCGAGGTGGGACATCTCCTCCGAGACCTTTGCCACCGCTTCCTCCTGGACCCTGGTGATGGCCCTGTCCAGGTCTGCCAGCTGGGTCAGGAGGTGGCGCTCTTGGTCCTTCAAAAATTGGTGCAATTGCTCGAATTCACACACTATCTTCTTCCTTTCATTTTCGGTTCTCTCCTGCCAGGATCAGAGACGAGAGCAAAGAGATGGAAGAGGAGCAGGAAACCTCCCTACACAGCAGAAGACACGCCACATCCTTCCTACACCTCCAGCACCTGAAACACTGGCAAAAAATTCCCCCATGGATTATTTTTATGTCATTCTGGTTTCTATCAGTGCCACGTCTCTGGGGCACAACCCCAGACCTTTGCAGAAGGCATCACGGGAGCTCCACGAGACGGGCAGGAGATGATGGGGGCTACAAAAGAATCCCACCGCCCCCGAGAAAAACAATTTAGTGATTCGAGGCCACCAAGTTGGTCTCAAGATGTTGTGTCCTCAGTGCTGATTCGGTCAACATGAGGGTGAATTTGACAGCAAACCATCTTGCTGGGGGTTTAGGTGGTAGCAGGGATGACTCAGCCTGGAAGCAAAACCAAGATGCAACCTCAACGAGGCTCGATAAGAGGGACATTTATAGAGTTTAGGGGAAAAACAACCCAAAAAAAACACCTTCCAACCCATCTCTCTGTACCAGGCTGGGGGCTGAGATCCCCCGCCGCCTCCCTTGTAGAGGAACTGCACCGTTATCTCCCCGGCGCAGGCTCCGGCTGATGTGAACCCCCACCAGGAGATAAGCACACGGTTGGCCGGTGCCCAGAGCGAACCAAATACACGAGAATCAGCCTCAAAATACACCAGAGATGCTGGGGGGGGCGGGTGGAGAGACCCTACCAGGTACGGGCTCCTCCTTACTCCGGTTTTTCGGCTTTCCAGGTATTTTTCTCTCTCCTCCTTTAAAGCCTGTAGGCAGGTTTGGATTTCTTCCTGCAGGAAAAGAAAAGATGTTCTTGGGGGAGCTGAGAAAATCCCTTTTTCCACCCTAAAATTCCTTCTGCCCTCACCTTAGGCTTTGCCTAAACGCTGCCAGGAGCGAAGCCAGGGAGGAGGAGGAAGGTCCACGAGGAACCGGTGCCGCTCCGAAGGTCTGTGCGGAGAAAATCCAACCTGCAAACCCCAAACTTGCTGCAAGCAGGGGGAAAAATTCTGCAGAAGAGCCAAACGCCGACACTAATCGATAGCCCACGTCCGGGGACGCGTGTAGGAGCGAGATAAGCGCGTCGCGAGATTTCCCTCAAAAACAGGCGCAGCCGCCAGAAATTGGTGGCTCTGGGGCGGATGTCCCTGGATTTGATAACCCTCCGTGGATTTATTTAATGTCCATTTATATAAGTGATTTTTTTTGAACCCTTCAGCACCAGCAAAGTCTTGCAGCAAGGAGTTCCTCGGGTTAACGCTGCGCGGCCTCTGCCCATCACTCAATTTTTTTGGTGGGAAAGGCGACGAGAACGGGTTTGGATCAGCAGG